AAAGTTCGTGCCACTTTTTTTTGCACCTCATGCAAGGAGTTCGTATCGCGAACTTCAGAATACCACCAAGTGTGCTACAAAGAGCCCAATTCGTTAAGTAACCTATACACGCTGCAAGTGGACAAAAGATGTCCGGTTTGCTTAGCTCCTGTCCAAGAATGTGCGAGCTTCTAGTGGGAGAGAACAGGTGGGGAAGGCGGTTGTTTATATTAGGTTATTCCAAAAGTTCATGCCACAGTTTGACATTTTTATGAGCTGGCATTATCTCAACAAAATGCAATATCCATCATCACTAAATGGACCTTCACTATCAGTGATATGTTGCTACGTACCATCGAGGAGTCATGCCGTGTCCCCAAAAGGTGCGCATTCGCAGCTGGTAAAGGACAGTTACTCGATTTCAAGGTCCCTTCTTGTTCTTCTTCTTTGAATCGTATATCTTTCTCCGCAACACAAGAATTCCCGCATAGTTGCCGAAAAAAGGCGTCGGATAGGGCAGCGTGCGAGCGAAGCAGTTAACTAGTCAGCAAGATATTGAGTGTTAGAGCCTTCGAAAGCGGCCGATCACTGTTGTGCAGTGGATCTGATAAGACTTCTCACCCAACCATAAGCTTTGAAATCTGGAACAGCGTCATTTTTAGTCTCGGTTGTCCTAGAGCTGGCACACCTTATCAAATTTTGAGCGCATTGTTCCTGTTCTAGTGTTCCTAACAGCTTCGAGCGTCAGATATAAAAGAGGATTCCATGCAGTATTCATTCATTGACCAAACACAAGAATTCCCGCATAGTTGCCGAAAAAAGGCGTCGGATAGGGCAGCGTGCGAGCGGAGCAAGTGGTGCGTATACACTCTGTTAGTGAACAAAGGTGTCCGGTTTGCTTAGCTCCTTGGACAGTGGGTAGGACCTGTAAACGAAAGTGAGTCGAGGTGCACTACCTGGAGCTCGCATTATTAGTTCTGAGGGGTAAAAGAATCCGGCTCTCACTTGGCCAATTTACAGAGAAATGTCGTTTTCATTGTATCCGACTTATTTATTTTAGGAATCGATCCAGACGATACTTTGGATGAGCAGCGAACAAACCAGCTGGGCATGTTCTCAGTAACAGGAACGACGCGTGAATTGACCCCAATCGACCCAGTTCTTTACATATGGCACGAATGCCGTGATGAGAAAAATGTGGGTTGGCAAAAATTAATTTAGCCTTAAAAGATCGCTGGGGTTTCCGAGTCGACATTTTAGTAAGATTTTACGGGGCAGTGAAGTTCTATTGCAATCAAGGTTCTTCATCAATCTCCACCATCTTCCTCAGGTGAGGTGGGTTTGGGGCGGAGATTGTTTTCCGAAATCTCAAAGGGACTTTATGGGCCTCTAACTAATTAGAACACAAAACTGAACATTGTTGTGTTCTTCTACCTTGCAGTTTTTCTCTTCAACTTACGTGTGGAGGAATGTGGCTAAGGAACACAAAATACCAGTTTACTCAGGTGCATATTTCATGTCGCTGCTGAAATTACAATTTCAGGCATGCTCTCGGAAGCTGAAATTCATAATTCCGAAAAAATTTATCCACAATGGCAAATGTAATTGTGCACGCGTCCAGAACAATGGCTAGACATTGGCGTAATAAATCTCGAAGGCGCATTCGATGAGGAAGGACGTGAATGCGCGAATTGAAGCTCATGAAAATAGATATTTTCTCATTATTGGTTCTTTCAATATACTGTTTAAGTTTTATTTTTTGTGTGGATACAAAGTGATTGAGATCTCAGTGGCGCGACATCGTATAAAAGCTGAGCAGTCAGAGCTGTTAGAGAACCTTGTATCTTCGTTGTCGGATGGTGGGTTCCGTTGGAGAAATCGCCGACGGAAGCTGCGAATTGGCTATAGCATTTCTGATTCGGAAACGTTCCAATGCTTGAGGACGTGGGATACGCGAGCGAGAGCCTGAGGCAGACGATACCTGGAAAATCGCTTTAAAACTCAGTTTGTTCCAAAATTTATATCACCCATCCCTCGAACGAAAATTTTAAAGAGTTGCTGTATCGCAAGAGAAACGACTACACAACCTTCGCTGCCGCTTTCTCCTATCTCTCCCCACCACACCCCCCCCCCACCTGCCAAAAAAAATAAAAGCGAGAGGACAACAAAACTCCCTTACTCTCCACTCTCAGGAAAAGCAAAGAAAGCGTAGGAGACAATACAGTTACCATTACAAAGATCATTACATTTATTTCCGTTATTCATCTGACATAAACAGAGAAACGGGCCATGATCTGGAACCATTCAGAAGTTGTCACCGTGTTCTTCCAGTCTGCTCCCGCAAACATCTTGAAATCATCTTCCCACCGCACTCGTGGTCGCCAACTGATCCTGCTTCCACAGGGCTTCCAATTCATCAGCCGCACTTCCCATCGTGTCCGGTCTATTGTCATCTCCACTTGCGCTTCTAGGCTTCTACGACAGCGTCTTTCTTGCTCGTGCATTTCTACACTCGACACCTTGTCGCAATGTCGAAGGCCTAACATTTGGTGTTCCATTCGTCGTTGCGCATTCTTCTTTATACCATCCTCTGCTGTTTTTAAGGCCCATCCATTACACACAAGTCCATGCTGTAGAGTTAGTAACACACACTTGTGAAAGAAGCGTCGTTTCGTCATCAGCGACGTCATTCTCTTTTTTAAATGCGCTCGAACTCTTCTGTTGATCTCCACGCAGCGCTATCCTCCTACTGATTTCTTGTCCACGATCCTGAGGGGAACACAAGGGTTCGCCCAAATACCTGAAGGAAGAAACCAGCTCAATTTCCTCTCCATTGACTCCAAGTATCTGTCCGCTAGGTTGCTGCGAACATCCATTTGTTTTGCCATATACTTAATGTCCGGTCTACGTTGCCCGCGTCAGTTTATAGTACGCATGCTTTTCGCTACGGCATTGACCGGTTGGAGAACCACGAGGGAAAGGTCGTCGGCGCAGGCGAGATAGTTGAGACGATACTGCTCGATTGGGTAACCTTGGTCATCCCAATCAATGTCATCAGGGGCCGGGTGCAGCACACCACTAGGGAGGTCCCAACCTTGGGGGACATATCCCCAACCTTGGGGATCCTCCCCACACCCAACCTAGGGGAGGGATCCCCAACCTTGGGGATATATCCCCAACCTTGGGGACATATCCCCAACCTTGGGGATACATCCCCAACCTTGGGGACATATCCCCATCCTCGACATTCTACAAGAATCGTTCAAGGGTTTCGCCGCAGGACCCAGGCTTCCGCACCTCGAAGGGATGCTACGTAAAAATCTGGGGCCGCACGCATAGTCGGTCGTCCGACAGCAACGATCGCAAGTGTCGCACAGTATTAGGTGCGTATCGATCGTCAGAAGTGCGACACTTACGACCGCTGCTGTCGGACGACGAACGATCGTTGCTGCCGGACGACCGACTATGCGTGCGGCCTTAGCGGGGGCGCGTCATAGCCACCATGCAATAGGGGACCCGCATTGAATCTGGATAAGCGAATCGTCCATCACAATACAATTCTGCGAAACGGCAGTCGCGACGCGGCTGTGTTACTGGAGCGCGCCAATCATCCATCAGTACTGTTACGGCCGTTAGGCCCTGTTCAGAGATGTCCGCTTACGCGAAAAAACGCACAGGCGAAAATCTCCGCCAAGATTTTAGATACGCATCGACTGAGAAATTGTGAAACGCGTAAGCGAAACGTCCGGAGCAGGCGAATTTCAGTCAAGAGTTTGATATGTATCGACTGTGAGAAACGCACAGGCGGAAAATCGCGTGAGCGAAGCGTTCGGAAGTCGATACGTATGACACTCATTTTCGTCGATCCTCCCACTTCACGATTCTCCTACGCGTCGTCGCTCAGTCGATACATATTTTATTTTATTTCGCCTTTGCGTTTTTTCGCCTAAGCGGACATCTCTGAACAGGGCCTTATACTTAGGCAGTGTTCACAGTTTGCGCCACACGAGGAGGACGCTTGAAACGAACGAATCTGCGCAAATGCGTAAAGAATTAAATGCGTATCGATCCACAAAATGGGAAGAGCGTCAAATCGCGCATTCGAATCTGCTAATCCTCTGAAAGAAGTGAGTGTCCATCGGTCGAGCCAATCGGAGATCGTCACCATCGACAACGCGAAACGACGGTGCAAAAATCCTCCAGCAACGCTAATACGGCGTGCTCTACAATGTCGACACGCATCTAATCCTTTTCGCATTTGCATTCGCGCGTGCGCAGATTCTTAAGGTTGATATGTATCTGATTCTTTTCGCAAATTTGAATATTCGATGATTTCAAAACTGTGCACAGTGCCTCAGAAAAAAACAGCGAATGAACAAAGGCAAGGTAATGACGAAAAAAGAAAAGCGAATAACGAAGCGAAACAAAGGGTGAAAAAACCCGAAACAGCCTTCAATTCTCCGCGTCGCCAAGTGAGGGGACGAATCCCCCTAGTCTCGACTAGGGGGATATATCCCCTGCCTGCAGAGACGCAGAGGGTCGACGGCAGTGACCGTCCCGCACGGTTGCGTCATAGGAGCCACCGAAAAACGATGGGTCTTGCGACGAAGTAGGGGATATATCCCCAAGGTTGGGGATATATCCCCAAGGTTGGGGATATATCCCCAAGGTTGGGGATATATCCCCAAGGTTGGGGATGTATCCCTCGTGTGGTCCTCGGTATGGTCCAAGCGTTTGGGGATATATCCGAATGGTTGCCAACGTTCTGGGGCAACGTGAGATCCATCTCTCTGCGGGAGTATATCCCAGCAACCTGGGGGACATATCCAAGGTTGGGGATGGATCCCTCCCTAGTTGGGCGCTTGCGCCAAACACGCGAGTACGATCCCCAGGACCTACTGTACTCGGGCGATGATGCTAAACGGCGATTATTGTCACGAATAAACAATAGTGGAGACAAAACGAATCGCCTTGCCTGACACCTCGCTAAATCTCGATCCCCATCTTCATCGAATCTAGCGCCAAAAACGATCGTTCAGCAGCACACAAGTGCTTCAATTTCGACAGCTGTAGCAGCCATCCACATTTAAATTCCCCACGCCTTCAAAAAGCGCGTGTTCGAGGAAGATCATAGTGAACAAAAATAAGATAAGAAGTAGCAAACAATTTGGAAGATTTGGAAGAAATAAAGTGCACTATGTTTGCTGTGCCAGGTAATGTCTTGTCGCAGACTTGAAAGCAGCTGTTGCGAGAGATAGGAGGTTAAAGAAGGAAACATATTCATCATTAAGGGAGGCAGCTCCCTGAAAGGAGCGAGGCAGGCTTTCTTGCGAAAGGATCGCTCCCAGCGGCTGACGGGACGAAGTTATTACGCTTTGCTTTTGTCTCTCTAGAAGTGTTGCGGACAAAAGCAAAGCAACAAACTTGCAAAGGAACCGATCCTACGAGCTTTTACCTGCCACCCCGGACCATCACCACTGAGCTATTACGCTTCATAACTCCGTTCGGAGAGCCGTTTAGCAGATTTGGAAGGCAGATTTGGAATCAGCGTCTGGAGACGCATCAGGAGGTATACATCTCATTTTATACGGCCACTTCGACCTACCATCCTTCCCTTGTTAGCAAGAGACCAAAGTAACGGCATTGATGCTCGCACCGCATTAACTCGAACAACGCTTACAACGGGCGAAGTTAAGGACCGGCTGCGATTCTCAAGGCCGTTCCTATAATTTTTCTACACTGCTCCACTTTTTAGCTAGGGTAATTACCCTGCTTAAAGAGGGTACGTATGCCATTCACTGACCCAATCCTCGAAAACTGAGGCACATTTGTGCACGAAATTTATCTCGAATTGACTTAAGGATTTGCGATAAAAAACTTGTCTTTACTGGCGGTGTTCAACCTGCAGATCCCGAATATCACATTTCTAGCTTGGCACGAAACGCTTGCGCTGCGCACTTAGGCGCCATTACATTGGTTCTGATGCAACCCCTGGCGCAGGTTCGAAGCTCACGCGATCCATGTGATATGTTTATGGGTTCTCCAGGTCAAACTACCGCTGGGGACAAGTTTTCAGCGAATTTGGTATCAAGGTTGTTCTGACGCCTTGCGCCTTTCACGCCAAACGAATGTCATATTCGCATTCTATGGGTAAAACCACCTCCTGGCACTTGAGCGAAATGCTCAGTTGGGGTAAAAATTTCAGATAAAAATCCAGCTCATTTTCGGAGGGGTGGGACATGAAGGGTGAACAGTGCTTAGCAGTTTTACTTCCATCCCAAGCCGGAGATCGGTTCATCGTACCATCTGCACACAGAGGTGACACAGATCAGATCAGATCAACTCCATCGAAAATATGCGACACTGATTTTTTCAAGTGTGTCACTACGTGTTCTGCTGCTGCCAAGAACCCAGTAGCACACGAGGCACGAGGGTTTCGAAAGTCGATAGCACGCGTTTTTATGCCGCTGAATGTCTGTGATGTCAAGTCTGTGATTGCGACATGCGCGTCGGCAGGAAAAAAGGTGCACGTGAGGAGCAAAGAAGCGATGTCATGATTCACCTGGTTTTTGAGATCGTTGTAATCAAGAAGCTGAACTTCTAACAGTACCTCGTTCAGTACTTCCCTCGCGACCTCCTTTAGGGTTAGGCGGTGTTTTCGTTTCGTTTTGATTTGTTGATTCGTCTCAGGTAGTAAAGCATGTTGTTCCTGAGCACTCTCTTCAGAAGCCATATCGAGGTCATTACCATGCTCCTGTAATAAAAATGATTGTTGAAAACTACTGCTGATAATGTCCAAGGTAGGCCTTTTGATCTCTTTCGGTTCGACTCCTTGGGAATTGAACCAAAAAGCAATCGGCATCGACCAATCACCCTTGAGTGCGCCACGCGTTTCACTCTTCCAAATTCGCTGTGGTACTTCGGAGGTAGTCATCTCTGCACAATGACGTGAGAAGGCCAGGAGATACGCAACTCAGTGCTGGTAATCCTCATCCTTTCACTAATCAAACGACCCCGGAGAAACGAAATAATTTGGGCTGGCCTTAATTCTATCCGCGGTTTGATACCCAGGCCAGACGCGTTGTAAACACAGACCACTTCGCCCTAGAGATCATATTGGAACAAGGTACGTCACAAGGATCACACATCCGTTGAGAAACTCCCAGGGGATGTCGTAGTCGTGGATGCCATCATTGGTGGAAAGGTGTTCGGTAGGGTCCAAACAAACGCGCTGAAAAGGGTGCTGAGTCCAATCCACCAATGACTTCAGCAAAACCTTTCCACCTTCCAACCATCCTGTTCACTGCCTTTAGGCATGACCTACCTCCTGCAAGCAAACCTTGTCAAATTCTGCGTCAACGTCTACTTCGTCTTCATCATCAGCAACGTCGGATGACGACCAGCCTCCAAGAGAATTGACAGAGTCCGAACGTGTGATGCTCCTAAATCGAACGTCTCGTACAGAAACGACATCACAATAAATTGATTGTAGAAATTACGCTGCCACGGATGTCACAAGATCACTAGCGAATGAGGCGGTATCAGTAGTCCTTTGAATGTTTTTCATCAAATCAGCAAGTTCTTCCTTCTCAGGGCTCAGGTAGACATTCACGTCCGCATTCACCTTCAAAAAGCAACTTTGCAAAGTATACGACAACAAATTTTTGAAACTCCTTCGAACTCCAGGACGAGGAATCTGTTTGGAGACACGGTTTTGGGTGCAATGTGCCTCCGGTGGAGAGGGGGAGCGGAGATGCAGTCAGTAGAAAGGCGATTAGGACTAAGCCTAACGGAGATGAACGAATTCTAGAAATATTAGAATTGCTCACGCACCTCGAAGTCCATCTTCCTTTCCGAGGCTTTGGTTAGTCCTTGAACTCAGCGTTCCCTTGAATTC